CTTAAAATACACTGAAGTGTTCCTATGCAGTGGCTGGGTGGGTGAAAAGTCAAGCTGAAAAGTTGAGATGCCGTACATAGCTGCTCCATGCGGCCATGGGACTCTTTCTGCTTAGTCATTTTGTTGACGCAGTTTTGCTTCTGGATTGGTGAAAGTTTCTTGGCTTACATAAAGGTGGTTAGTGTGGGAACATCAGTAGCTTGGTGTAAACTAAACACTGAAACTGGAAGCACAGTTTATGGTACTGGCTTGACTCAAGTTCAAGGCAGTCATAACTTAATTCTGCTTTGGTAAGAGCTAAACTGCTGAAGGAGTGTTGTGTTGTGTTGGTAGCTCCTGTAAGAGAGTAGGTATAGGATATTAAAGGCTGTTTGGGACTTATAACTTTGTTAGATTATGGGCCTTTAGTATTCCTCACCTCCCAAATCAGATAATGGTTCAGGACTGGGATTAAAGGAACTGAATGTCTAATTTATAAGCAGCCAGAGGATTGTTCCCAGTAAGTTGGTGCTTGGCAGCTGCCCAGGTTTGCACTGCTTTGGCTGTCAGCCTCTGCCTGAGGTGCGGAGGGCTCTACCTGAAACTGCTGCTAGACTAAATGCAAGATTGTTGTTTTTCTCTGGGGATAAAAATCTCTATTGTATTAAACTGTCAGAAACACAGAAAATAATTTGCAAATACTAGGCCATAGAGTGTGATATACAATAGTAGCAAGTAAATTGCACTTAATTAGGCATGGGCAGGGTGGAAATGTGTTAATGTACTTGTTTCCATGTAAAAAGTACAGCATATCTTTAGCTAAACAAGAAATCCCAAAGAAAATCAGGATTGAAGAAGTAAGTGGAGGGATCCAGTTCTTTATACGTGTCTGACTTCTCTGCTCTTCCGAGGATTTGTAGGCTTTGTAGAGGATATGCACCAAGAGCTTGTTGCACCTCTCCCTGCCTGGAGGAGGGAATTGAATCCTTTACTTTACAAACTATATCCATCATTTGTGTGTTTGCCTGGGAAAAGTTCTGTTTGGGCTGCGAGTAGTTAGCTGCTGTAGTTGGTAGGACCTGACAGACAACCAGAACAGTTGCCTGGAGTTCTTGAGCACAGTGTCAGTGTGCTAGAGGCTCCTTTGGTGGTGGGCAGCAGACCTAGGGGGACTGAGCACAGTGCCATGGGGGCAGCCCTCTTCATTAGGGATTTTAGTATATGGATTTCACTGCTATATGAGTCTCGGCTTGTGAAGAGGTAGGTAAGAGATAAGTGATGCTACTTGTTAACTTCTCTGATATGCAGCATTGGTTATATCCAGGGGAAAACCCAAGCAAACCCTAGGCTTCAGTGTTTACAAGTTTTAATGAGTAGCAGCTTTCAGCTATCCATAGTAAAGCAGCCAAGGATTATGTTTTTCATGTCCCAGTGCAAAACTTCCCCGAGATTTTCTTTTTTGTTTGCCAGCCAGCCATTAGCTGATGTTAAGTTTAGCATAAATAATCTAGATGGAAAGTTCATTTTAATTTGCCTGTAGTAATTAAGCATACCTTTAGTGGAGGAGGTGCCTGAGCTTATATCCCTTGTTTTACCTCAAAGTATTCTTGCAGGCAGTAGCTATTTGAACTGTGCTTCAGCATTGCTACTGTGGAAGGAAAATGAGAACCTTCTACAAGGCAGAGACTGATGCCACCCTCCTGTAAAGGTAGTAACATCATAATTTGCCTTACAGGTAACATCCACTAAGCAGATTTTCATAGCTGCTGTTACAGAAGATTTTTGTCAATGGCTGTCCGTTTCATACAGTTTACAGATTGTCTGCATTACAAGAGTTGCCATCCAGTGCTCTTACTCTTTCTCATAAGATCTCTTGCAATGTAGTGCTGCAAGATCTTAGGTATGAGTCAGAGTGTAAGAGCTGGCTTTCAGTGGGAACAAATACATAAAAAATGGTTAAAAGGACTTGAGGATAAAAAAAGTTATTGGAGGCTGAAACAGATGTAAAAGGAAATTGAAATAGCACGGATCAAGAGAAGAAAATGGTGTGTGTTGGACTCAAAAATAGTGTGGTATATTTAGATAGGGAGAAGTATGCTGAATTTTTTTTCAGAGTCAACTTCTGGTAGGCTTTTTACATTCTTATCAGTAGGAAGTGATAACTGGGAAGCAATAAGGAAGCCAAATGTGAGCAGCTTCAGTGTGCACAGAACTCCACATAAACCCTTTTCTCCCTGTGGAATACAGAAATGAGGGAACATGTTTTGGAGGCTTAAATTCAAGTTTGAAAGTATTAAGGTGAGATACTCAGATCTAATATCTGCACTCTTCTGGTTGACTTCTGTAGTTATGCTGGTTATTCTATATTACAATGCTAATAAATAGCTAGAAGGATGTCTGAAGTGTCCTGCACAGAGATGGCTTTTCTGCACAATTAATACAAAATTTTAATCCTGTGTGAAAAAGGAGGTTGATTCAACTACTAATGTAGTGTAACTTTTAATGTCTGATGCTGGAGGAATGTCTAGTAGGGGACTGGTGAAGGCCTTGCTCCATGTGAGACATGTGACTGGTTTCTCTGCCCCTTTAACCTGAAACTAAATAGAACTGTTACTCAAACTTATGCAGCTGTTTCCACAATGTTTCATAGATGCCAGAGGCTGAAAACATGTCTGCTTAGTGAGGTGTGGCCATGCTGTTAGTTCTTGGTTTTGAAGCTTGCATCTTGCTTAAAGAGCCTGTGATGCTGCCTTTTGCCTCAGGCATTGTCTTGAGAAAGCATGATTTGGTTCAATAACTAAGTCTTTGTCCTGCAACTTGGGGAGTGAATGGTTGACCTCATGTGTTGACTAAACCCCTGCTGAAGAGCTTTTACGAAACCCCCTTCCAATACATTTATTGCAACTTTAGCATTGAATCACTTTGTGGATGAATTTTAAGTCTGAATTCTCAGTGGCCACACGAAGTCGTCATTCCTGTGTCTACCTCTTCAGGACCTTGGTCTTTCATGTGAGCTGAGCACTTTATTTTCCCTGTGTAAACTTACCCTTCTGTGTAGGGCTTGAGTTGATTCTTCTTGCAGTTTTTAAACTGTGCTTTAAAGGGTCAAGACCTTAACTGGCAAACAGGGAATGAGCAAATCAGTTTGGACTTAAAGGTAGCCTTTCACCATAAAGGTATGAGGTTCTCACTAGTTCTTCTGTGCATGTACCTGAGGGCATTATAAGGATCTTTGAACTTCAGTCTGTTGCAATGCCTAGAAATCAGCACAGAATACAGCTATTGGGTTTACAAAGAGGGAATATGGAGACTAACTGTACTGTGGAATATAATGAGGGCTGTACAGTGTCAGGATCTAAAATAAGTGCAGTAGAAATTGTAAAGTAAGATTGAAAAAAATCCAAATTTAATCTGGAAATTACTAACCAGTTGAAGGAATCACTTTCTCTCCCCTTCCCGTATCGTAAATAGCCAAGATCCATTAGGACTTTGTATGTCCTGTTGGAAATGCTGGATCAAGATTTTCAATTTAGCATCAATATGGCATTTACATTAGGTTTTGACCCAAAGCTGTGGGAGAATTTTAGACAGTTGAATTTTAGGCAGAACTCATTTCAAGTGCTTATTTCTGAATCTTATGCGTTTTCCTGGATCAGCCTGAACACAGTGGAGTCTACACCTTGGTCTGACTCCTGCATAGCTATTTCCAGATAGGCCTTCTATCTGGCAGTAACCATATGAAGTAACCTGTAAACTTAGAATCCTGTATTGCTCATCACTAGTGGATAAAGCTGTGAAATGAAATAATAAGCTGTTACGCTGTTCAGGGTTTTTATCTTCTGTGTTCTCTTCTAGTAGTTCAGAATGTAGTAAATCATTACCTCCAGAATGCACTGGTCTCAAATGCTTTCAGATTCTCAAAAAGGGAAGTAGGATGCTAGTTTTAAATAAAGAGATAGCGTGACTTTGTTTTATCTGTTAACGATTTCTGGAGTTCAAGATAGACTTCAGTTTAATCTGGCTTCTACAGGGTTCTTCCAAAGCAGTGTGGCTTTTTTGTTAGTAGGAAGTCTGTTTTTTTTTTTTTTACTTATTCCCCCACCTGTTGGTATCTTGGAGACCATGCCCCACAGCTCTGAGTCACTTTGGACTTTCTGCTCCTGGTGTACTTGGATAGCTTCAGAGTCAGGCTATGGGTCTCTGCTCTGGCAGCATGCTGTTGTGTGTGGTAGGGAGCTGAGGATACTTGCCCAGGCCATAAATCCTTCAGTAGGTACCAAATCGATGAAAGTCATGGGTTGTTGTGGTTTTTGGGTTTTTTTTTTTTTGTTTTGTTTTTGGTTTTGGTTTGGTTTGGTTTGGTTTTGGTCAAGTATAGAGGTGTCCTGGGTTTAGCAGTGGCAGTCATTTTTCTCTTTCTTGGTAGCTGGTGCAGTGCTGTGTTTTGACTTTCAGCTGGGAACAGAGCTGAAAAATGATGTTTTGGTTTGGCCAAGGACTTTGTGAGCCTCATGCTCTGCCAGGGAGGAGGGAAGCTGGGAGGAAGCAGAGACAGGACACCTGACCCAAACTGACCAAAGAGGTATTCCATACCACAGCACGTCATGCCCAGGATGTAACTGGGAGTTACCTGGAAGGGTGGAGTGAACTGCAGGGTTGGAGGAGGTATCGGTCGGTGCTTGGTCGGGCTGGGGGGGGTGAGTTATCGGTCGCCTGGTGATGGGGTGTTGTATTCTCTTCCCTTGTTATTTCCTTTATCATTACTATTATTGGCAGTAGCAGCAGTGATTTGTGTTATACCTTAGTTACTGAACTGTTCTTATCTCAACCCGTGGGAGTTCCATTCTTTCCGATTCTCCTCTCCGTCCCTCCAGGCGTAGGGGGAGGGCAAGAAGGAGAGGGGGAGTGAGTGAGTGAAAGCTGTCTGGTTGGGGTTAAACCACGACAAGAGGCATGATCAAAACCAGCAAATGCTTATCATAGACACCTAAAGTCACTCTTAAATTTTTTCTCCTACACAGAGCTCAACAAAAATCCAGTGGAAGGCTTTTCAGCAGGCTTAATAGATGACAATGATCTTTATCGATGGGAAGTCCTTATTATTGGTCCTCCAGATACACTATAGTAAGTACTGATACTTATACGGAAACTTAAGTGAACTTGGATTTACTAGTGCTAGTTTGGTCTAAGTGGGTAGAAGTTAATCTAAATCTTCATACTGATGTAAGTTAGGCAGCGCTGTTCTGTTGCTAGTAAAATACCTGTAAATAGCTGCATTTGCTATATAGAAGTTCTAGACTGCTTTGCTCCCTTGGGAAAAGGTAACACTGATCTCTTTGTGCTTGTGTAGAAATGAAATAGAATAGGCTATCCTGCTTCTGTTGCCTTATGCATTTAAGTAAGGCAGGTATAATCCAGTAATTTCAGTTATCGCTGCAAAGCTCCAGTTTAGCTGATAGTACAATTCTAAACCATTCCAACTTTATGCTGGTGATTGCAGGAAAATATTCAGGGGGGTTGTAGTTGGGGGAACTGCATCAGACCATAGAATTAGCTTCAAGTCCTGTCAGTTTGAGATAGATTTTCCTGCGACCTAGAGCACTTCGGTGCTGATCAAAGTTGAACTGTTAGCAAACCTTGCACAGTAGGCTTCAAAAAGCTTCCCTCCTTATTCTAAGGACTGGTTCTTTAATTGACATTTGAACAGAAAACCTTAAGTTTGCTGTATTTTTACACTGCTGTACCTGAAGTGTACAGAAATTCAGAGTACCTAAAGCATTCTGGCATATGCAGTGTCTTGGGTTTTTGTTTGGCTTAAACCCTCTCACTACCATGCCCCTCACCCCTCAACCCCCCAGCCCAAAAAATTAGCTAATTGAGAGAACAGCTTCTTTATCATAGAGATTATATATGATCATCTACTCTAGCTCCTGGGAAAAGGTTCTGTGCCTGGAAGAGGTCAGTTGAAAGTGTAGCTCTTGAAGATGAACTCTATTCTCCTTCATTACACTGTTCCAGTGGTAAATTACTAATACAAAAAGCCTAGTGGCATTTACTTGAGGTCAGTTTTAGTTCCAACATGAAGTTGTATACCTCTGTCTGCAGACTTCTGAAGTACTTAAACACGGTAATTGAATTACTTTGCTTCTCATGAAGCTCACTACATTATAACTCTCAAGTCTTGCCTGAGATGAATTCTTCAACTTCTGTTGACCTCTTTTTGAACAGTCTTATAGCGGCTTTATTATATTCTCATGGCCATTTTCTAAATACTGTCAGTAAAGAAATACTGCTTCAAATTGAACCTCTTTATATTTTAAAAATTGCAATAGCATATTTTTTCCCACTTAAGGTGCTGAACTTGTTTTGAGGCTATTTAGATAAGAAGCTGTCTTCTATTCCACTTCATAGTTGCTGTGTTTCAAGGTAGTATTATACAGCATCCTCCTCCCTGGTCTGTTTTATGATGACAGAAATACATATAATAGGACATAATTGAACACAATCAGGTGGTTCAGAGTTCTCAAACATCAGTCTCGTTCCTGGTCCCACTTGATTTATTCCAAGTTTACTTGAAAAGACTTTAGACTACTGACAGAGACCCCTTGATGAGGAATAGTGCTTAAAATGGCACAAATGTCAATTAACAGCTGTACTTCATGAACTGGTTTCTAATGTGTATTCACTTGAAAAGCTGTATTTATGTGTAGATGATGAGAGTTGACAGGGATGCCAGTGCAGCCCAATAGCTGGAGGATCTGCTGCTTTGCAAAGGGAAAGAACTATTTCACTTTGAAAGAAAACTTAACTGGTTTGGGGCTAGCAGCAAATGTAATCTAACTCTCCTTTGTCTTGACTAGTATGACTATTAGCATAGTGAATGTTTCTGGAATTCTAACTGTTCCCAGGATTAAAGTTTCTTTGGAGACTGCCTGCCTTTTCTAAAACTTGTGGAAAATGAATGCTGTAGGTTTAGATACCCTCAGCTGCTTTAAGAGCCAAGTCATTTAGATCTAATGCTCTCTGGGTTTGGGTGGTTTGGGGTTTTTTTTGAGACACTAGAATTACACATCTTTGGTTAATGGTGGTAAAAATGTGTTGTTTCCTCAGCAGCCTCTGGCCTTTGGATACTGGCTCCTTTACAAATACAGGGGGGAAAAACTGCACTGAACAACTTTGTCTTTCTTACACCAATTCTTTTGTCTGTGTGGCTACTGAGGAGTAGATTGTCTTATTGCACATCTTGTGCCACCTTCTTTGGAGGTTATGTTCTAGGTTTTGTCATTTCAGCCTTTGCAATTTCAAATTTTGTTACAACCTTCAATGATGGTAACAGGGCAAATGTTACAGTACTTCCATTAGCCAAGTGTTCCATTTGCAAAGCTTTCCATGGAATGTTAGCCCTTCACATTTTTCAAAAGGGACTATTCTGGGTATTGAAATGTAGCTGTTTAAAATAACCCAAACAGTTGCCTTAGATATGTGCCTGTAAGTCCATGTAAAAACTGGATGTCTCCTGTTTAGTATTGTTTTCCAGTTCAGTGGGCAGAGCACTTCACTGTCATGTTCAAGTCCCTTTAGTTTAGTGTTGACAAGGTAGCATTGAAGTCTTTACAAAACAGTGCTGTAGACACAACTATAAAGCTTTCTGTAACTTGTCACTGAGGCTTACTGCTGCAGATTGACATCAAGGAATTGGGACTGAGGTGTGTAAAGGAAAACAGGTATTTGGTGGGTTGTACTTGAGAAGGGAGTTACTGGCAATAATTTTTTTTGCTGTACGTTGAAATTCCAGATGGTGATTTCCTTTGCAGTTTTTAATTTTCTTTTTGGTAATTTTTTTTTTCTTTTTCCCCTCTGGAACATCTTCCCAGTTCTAAAAAAGATACAGTGTTGGGAAACTGACAGTATCTTGTGAAAGGATCTTCTCAATCTAGAAACTCTCGGTATTGCATATGGCAGTGTTGGTACTGTTAATTACCAACATGATGTTAAGCTGTGTGAGGGGTAAACTTGGAGTTTTTGATACATCACTAAGTTCCAATCTTCAGCTTACAAGAAACTCTACTAAGATATTTTTGATTCCCCAGTGAAGGTGGTGTTTTCAAGGCTCATCTTACTTTTCCAAAAGACTATCCACTGAGGCCGCCAAAAATGAAATTCATCACGGAAATCTGGCATCCAAATGGTAAGAAATGTCAAAGTTTCAATTTCTTTTTTGCAATTAACTAAAATGTGATGAAGACAAATGGATACATTTCTGTTCATGTTAGAAATAGGAAACTGCATTTACTTTGCCATCATCATCACTTCATAAAGGAGTAATAACCATGACAGAGTTTTTAATAGTGCTGCTCCAAGAGGCTGTTCCTAAAGTATCTTCAGAAGCTCCTGTCAGGAGCTTCTTGCATTCTTGGTAACTGTTCAGGGTTGGTGTTTTTTTCCTAAGTGCAAAATTCTAGTCTGAAGAGAAATTTGCCTTCTAATAGCTGTCTCTTTTGTTATACCTTCAAATATTTCAGCTTAGTGTGACAAACTTGGCAGTTCAGTGTAGAATGCCAAGGTTGTCCTACTCTGGTGAAGCATGAAAGGAGATAACAGCATCTTTCAGTCCCTCCAGTGGAGATTCTTCCTAATGCTTCATTCACTTATGGACTGCTGGACATAGATGGGAAGGTAAAATAGAATGGAGGAAGTTTTTTACTGGGGAAGAGGAATATCCTTCACTTCCTAAAGTCATTATTGAAGCTGTTTCTGTTGAAAGCTGGGAGGAGTCCAGCACAGTGCTCTCACCGTAACAGACAGAAGGAATATTTTGATGTTGTGCTAGTTTCAGTTCTGGAAATATCAGACTACTTGTAGGCAGTTTCTAATTCCAACAGCTTAAACTATATTCCAGTACACTGCAGTAATATCCAGCTGATGCTGTTGCTGTGGAAAAAAAAGTCCCTCTCTAGTTTGCTGAACTTAACAGAAAAAGCTTTAGTAGAAGCCTGTCTAAATAGTCTTGAAAGTCACAGTATGATTGGATTAAGTTCTTCCTCCCCATGTGCCCTCTCTGTCATAAGTCCAGGTGTAATAACAGACTTCCACCCAACCCTGTTTGTTACAGATTGAGTTCTATAATAGTTAATGACTTTCCTTTTTCATAGTGTCTTCACTAACATGCTTCCAGACAAGTTGGAGTGAAAACTAACAGTTCCATAACTGTCCTGAAGAAATGCCAGTGTGCTGTTCATTACTGAAATATGCCTTGCTCTGTTTTGTAGTTGACAAGAACGGTGATGTCTGCATTTCAATTCTTCATGAGCCTGGAGAAGACAAATATGGATATGAAAAACCTGAGGAACGCTGGCTTCCCATTCACACAGTGGAAACTATAATGATTAGTGTTATTTCTATGCTGGCAGATCCCAATGGCGATTCTCCTGCTAATGTTGATGCAGCGGTAAGATTTTCCTTGATCTGCCAACTGTTTTCAGTGTAGAAACCTAAATTTGCAATGGAGTTTTAAGTACAGTAACTTCTGGAAAAACCTCTTAGCATGTATTAAGGTTACCTTTTTGTTGGGAAAAGCAGTCAATTGTGAAACACAGTTACTAGTTAGACCTGGGAAATCTCTTGGAGATTGCAAAGGAAAGACGTCAGATTTCATAGGCAGTAGTTTTTATCCTATGCAGTAATACTTTTATTTATAGTAAGTAACTTGTGCACAGAGACACTTAATGGATAAACTTCAGCTCCTTCACCCTTAAGAAATTCAAGGAAGCTAGCTGTAAAATGGTGGGGATATATATACACATAGGTGTTTCAACTGCCATTAAGTTAAGCTGTAGAAGTTAACATATTCTGGAACCTTTTTTTTCCTTTTTTAAAGCATGTTATTAGTATAATGCATGAAAAAAATCTGTTTTGGAAATGATACAACCTGTTAACAGATTATTGATTTGAATGGAAGAAGCATATGTGGTGAGATCCCTCAGTACAATCATTTGCATCCACCTCTACAGTAGGCTTCCTGGGTTAAGCAGCAGGATTGACTTTATATGTAAAGTGCTTTGAAAATGTACTTGAAAAGCCTCCCCAGGCACCTGGCTTTCAGCTCTGGAGGAAGCATTGTCCCAGGACAACATGGACTTTTTCTGCTTGCAAACCTGAGAGCACAGGAATGAGCAAGTTATTAATGAAATGCTAAAGGTACAATTAGAATTCCTCAGTTTACAAGCTCATGTATGTTGAATGTAACTGATCTAAGGCTGGAGAAAGCTTGTACTTTTAGCTATTCCGGTCACCTTCCTAGTATCACAAGGTGTGTTTTGTTTTTTTTTTTATCTTTGCCCCATTCTGTCAGCTACTTCATGAGTGAGGATTTTTGCCCCAGGGATACTAGATGGAAAGCTCTGCATTTGTGTACCTAAACCTTAGGGTAAAGGTTTGCTTTGAAGCACATCATTTTCTAGCCCAGCTTGAAAGAAGAAAAACTTAAATACAAATCAGACAGTGAAGACAGTACTGAGGCATCATTTTGGATGCTAGGACCTATTTTTCTGACTGTGGTATTAGATGTTCTAAGTAACTTTGGAACTCCATGTGCTGCTTGAGCAGTGTAGCATCTCCTGGATTGTAAGATGCGTTCTCTATATTAACCAGAGCATACTCAACAGAGTCATGAAGAATTCCGAGCTGCTATCAAGATGTCTTCTATTTGGTTTACTAAGGACAAGCTTACTGCAGCAACGGTATTTGGCAGTTACTAAGAGATACTTTGTCTGCTTTCATTAATGTCTGGTTTTAGGTGAGTCTAGAGATTAAGATGTTACAGGTAGTTCACAGCATTATAGGAGCAGGGCATATACCTGCTTCCTGAAAAAATGAACTGTACATCTTGGAGTACTATCTCTTGGAGTGGGGGAAAAGTGAGGGATAGGAGCCTGAATAAACAAATATTGAGAAGCAGATAGACCAGTTGATCTAAAATGAGAGTTTTGGAGAGATTGCTGTCAGATAGGAAACTTTGCTGTTCAGTTCTGAACCCTTGCTTCATAGAACTATGTTGTGGTTTAACCAAGTCCTTGGCCAAACCAAAGCATCATTGTTTTTCAGCTCTGTTCCCAGCTGAAAGTCAAAACACAGCACTGCACCAGCTACCAAGAAGGAGAAAAAATGACTGCTGCTGCTAAACCCAGGACAAACTACAAATACAAAAATGGGAACAAAGCCTAGGAATCTAAAGCTGGGAGGGCACAAATTCAATGCTTTTCTTGGCCCAAAGCCATGTTCTGTAAGGTGTCCCATGTCCCAGTCCAAGGAACAAAATGCTTGGTGTATGAATTGCTGAAAAAGAGCAAATTAATCAGTGGCCTTATTTGTGTTTTCACTGGGAAGATAAGACATGCTGGGCTTTCCAACGTGCTGACTGGCTACGTGAGCTTGGGGGTGTGCATGTTACAACCTTCCCTCTGAGTAGGGGGTGAAAAGCTGTTGTGTGCTGTGTTGCTTCAGGTTAAACAATGGGGACCCCTTTGCTCACCTCTGCAGTAAGAATATATTGCTTATATCCAAACCTAAGAACTGTAGAACTTACCAAATGAAATAAGGTGTTTGTGTTTTCTCATCACTTCTTGCCTAACTGCAAGGCAGTACTCAACATGTCAGCGTTAGTCATGTTGTATGATGCTCCTGTGCTTTCATCTGAGCTTGTCATGAGGCTGGCCCAAAAACCTGAAAGCTGGTGGCACTTTTCCCTGTGGGTTTTCATGATACTGTAGTGTGCACATCTCTGGGTTCAGACTTACTTCTTGCCTGTTTGCTGTTCAGCTCTATCTTTGTTCTTCATCTGTGCAATTCTGAAATCAGATACCTGTCACAGACAGCATCCTCGGAAGTGTGCTGAGAATTCTATTCAGGTTTTTCCCATGGAGCCAGTATCTTGCAGCCATATCTAACTAGGAGGTGTTTCCTTTCTAAGGGCACTGCTGTGTCTCTTGTCAATACTGTGACTCCTGTATTTCTACCCTGGAGTGTCTGGCCAAATTGAGAGGGAGTTGAAACTGTCTTAATCTCAGTGTGACTCCTGGCTCCACAGTACCTTTTTTCATCACTGCAATTAAAGACACTTTATCTACCCCATTAACAACAGCTTGTGGTCTACAGGTTGAGTTTGCTGCTACTTGCAGACTGAAGTAAATAGATCTCACCCTAGACATTGTGAAATATTGGTAGCCACCAGGTTAGCCTTAGAGAATGCCTAAAATACCAGGGGGAAGGGCTGTTTACTGTCTTGTGGGGAGTTTGCATAGAAACCCAGAGCAAGCTTCCAAACATCCTGAATGACACAGGTTTGCAGTGACTGTCTCTGATTGTAAGCAAATTCAGGTGCTGCCTATGGCCCATGGCTGAAAATACATAAACACCTAAGCCTCTTTCTAGAACTTGTATGTTGTTACAGGCCTGACAACTGAAAGCTATCTATTCAATTGCAGAAAGAATGGAGAGAAGACAGAAATGGAGAATTTAAAAGGAAAGTTGCCCGCTGTGTAAGAAAAAGCCAAGAAACTGCTTTTGAGTGACACTTATTCAGCAGCTAGTAGCTTCACTTTTTTCAGGGTAAGTAACATTTCAAAGACAAGTCAGTTACTTGAGCTGAGGATTTCCTGCCTAAGTGTTGCTGAACTAATTTTTTTTCCCTTCAAAGGCAAAAAACCCCCCAAACCTCTCTCCTCAGTCGCATGATCTCAGTGGACTTCTTTGGCTGTACGTGATACGAAATAAAGACTAAAAGAAATTTCAAGTGCAGGAAAAGCCCCTTCTGCTGAGATTGGGGAACCTCTCTTGCATTTATGCTGTTCAGAAGTTGAAATTCTCCTTATCAGTATTTATCCTGCTTTATTAATAGTGCTTAGGGATTACTGGAGCTGTAATAGAAGGGACTAATCATTCTGTCATGCTCATTATTGTGAAGAACACTTGTTTGAATCTTAAAAGCATCTTGTCTTGCTATCTCAAGGTCATATATAAATCTGTGGAGTGTCGTGAAGATGTTGGTGGCATGTTGCATGGTAGGTTTTAAATCAAAGACTTTGTTGAGGTTGTTAGGAACCATTCACAAAGGATTGCTTCAGGTATCTGGGAATTTTAACAGAAAGCCTACTAGCACATCAGAAGGGATCTAGGTGAGGTATTTACCCATCAATAATATCAAGAAAGGTGATGTTCTTTTCAGCAGCCCAAAAACGTTGTTTTACTGGGGAAGGTGTAGAAACAGCTTCAGAAAAACAGTCGTATTATGCTTGAAACTGAACTGTGGCATATCTGAGAGCCTGGACAAGTTTTAACCTGAGAGCTGACGTGAGAGTTGACACTGAGAACTGTACTTTCTGCCACCCTGTTAAAAATGAGCTTCTGACTCAAGATACTTATTTGAGCAATCCCATCCTAATGTTAATGGGACCTTTTTCTTTACAATAAGCTCTTGTAGAAAGCTCTGTATTAAAACATGTCCTTTAAAATACTTGGCCTTTGGTCACTTTAACCTTGGTATGCCAAGGAAAAACTTGAAGTAGCTAATAATTTCCCACTCCTGCTTTTCAAAGTAAAACAGCTTCTTGTTGAAGCTGCCTTTAATAAAAGGTTGGATTGGCAAATAAACTATGCTGACCCATTGGCTGGAGAAGCCCCAAACAGTATGTGCCAGTTAGCTTCAGCATACAGACTTGGGGGATGGCATTGCATCTATTTTAAGGGGTTTGTGTTGTCTCAACAACTAGAACAGCTTACTAAATGCTCCTGCTAGTGAGTGTTTCTTCATCAGGGTTGTACAGAAGATACTTCCTTTCTTGTGCTTTTGTAAGAGTTGTGGGGGTTGGGGGAAGGCTCCATCTGTGACAGACTAGTACTGCAGTATCTCTTCTCTGCAGCAAGACTGTGATTGAACAGAGATTTCTCCAGTATAGAGAGATCATGAAAAATGCTTAATATTGATCAAAAGAGTAAGCAAAAGAACTGAGTGTCTTGTACAGCTGCTTGTAACTAGAGTGTAAGAACTGTTAATGTGGCTGGTAGGGTGTTTTTTTTTGTTTTGGAGAAAGGGAGTTACTGTGAGTAAGGCTGCAGCGTATCCTCAGCTGACCTCAGCTCTGTTGCTATGTTAAACTTGGCCATGGTGAAACAATGTGCATGACAAATACTGAAGTAATTGGCTGTGTTGCTTTTTTGGAAGGCAAAAGCTTTTCTAAGTCCTGGTGACTCCTAAGTGATGGGCAGTGAACTGGATGAGATGGGGCTGTATAGCTGGTTTCAGAACAGTACAGTCTGACTTGGTAGCTGTGATGTTAACTGCTTACTAAAGCACTGCTGTGCCATTTTGTACAGCACTCTGCTGTTGAAGCAGCACCCATCATTCACAATAAGTGATGCACAGAGGTTTCAGTTGTAAATCTACAAGCATTTAGCTCCATGTGGAAATCAAGTGTTTGCACACCATGTGCTTTTGACAAGCAACACCAGTAAGAGGAGCCTGAAAGTCTGGTAGTTGAGCATGGATACACAGCATGCTCAACTAACTAGAGTCTTTCTCAGGTGATTATGGATTTATACATCTTCTCTTTAGAGGTTTGTAAAGTTCTTGAACAAGGAGTAATTATCTTCCTTGAGCCTGAAACACTATCAAACATCTTTTAAGATAATTGAGGGTGATGAGGGGTTTTAATACCTGTGATTTCTTTGTAGGTCTCCAATTGAGAAACATGGCACTGTTTTTTTTTCCTGCACTCTACCCACCTATTGCTGGACTTCTGTTGTTACAAGTTGGCAAACACTGGCTGGAACTGGGCTGCAATAAAACATGCCAGTTATCAATGCTGACAAGAGCCTAACAAGTGCCAACACAAGATGATTACACATTTTGAAATCTAACGAACTGCTTTAACCTTCAGGAAGAATTGTAAAGATGTGTACATAGCACAACATGATCCGGATAATATATATACTGTTCATGTACATCCACAAATACACATTGTACCAAATAATGCTGTCTGTAGTTAGGAATAGATTCGTGTAAATTCTAAAGATTTTAGCAGGTTTTTCTCTCCCTATTCATTGTTTCCTCTCAGTTTAAAAGACAAACCAACAACACCTTGTGAAGCATGTCAGACTAAAACTGATTAGGACAAAGTTGGGGTTTTGTGTTGTTTTTTTTCTCCTCTGCTTTAATTTTCCTTTGACCCACTGAGGCTTAATTAAAATCTCTTGCTTATTCAAGTTTAGTATCTCTTTTTTGGTTTTCCTTTTTTTTTTTTTTTGTTTTTGTTTTTTTTGGAATGTGCTCACTTTTATTCCCACCCCCCTGTCAGAACTGAGAATTGTCCGAATTGAGCCCTGAAAGGATTTGCTGAGTTGTGTCATCTTTATGATGACCTTTGTAGTCTCAAAGGTGCTTTTTTCTCGCCTTCTCACCCCCTTTTTAAACCCAGTTGCACATACTTCTTGAGTATAGCAATAAACTGGCCATGGAGCACCCTTGAGCAGCCTGCTGGATTTTTAACTTCAAAGGCACTTGAGTGCTTTTATTTGGAAGTTCAGTTGACTAAGTTAGTCCAAGTTAGGAATGAGTTGCTTTTAATGGGTGAATTCTTTTTTTGCCTTTTTCATTGCCTGTCTGTGTGGGGGGCTTGTTTTTTCTCAAGGTTCAAGCATGCACATCTGTAGGCTTTTCAAATAACTAACTACTTCTGGGTTTGGTATCAAAAATAGCTTCCCTCCTTTTCCCTTTTCTCTCTTCTGTGGCGCTTCATATTCTTTGCCTTCTACTTCAGAGTTTTCCTCACCTAATGTACAAAGAAAATTGCGATGTATATTTTCATGTAATTTGATTTTTTGGAATTCTGTCACCTTCTGTAGTGAGTTCTTCCAAAATATAATTTTTTCCAATAACAATGTGTCAAACTGGCTGTCTTGCGTGTCTGAATAGGAAAGGTAACTGCAGTGGGAGCACAACTTACCTGACCATCTTCAACAACATAATGTCAGCAAACACTTTTGAATGTGACATTCTGTATTTTATCTTGGAGTAATTAAAAAGCAAACAAAAGTCACACCTTTCTTCCTATTGTAACTATATTTTACCCTTCAGTGAGCAAATACTCATCCTAGAGTACCTGGTAATAAGAGCTCTTCAAGCCTACCTGAAATACCTTTCTACCAAAGAAACTCTGTAGAGGAACTTGCAACTACTTGACTGTTCTCTGCTCTGTCACGGGTTTACTGCAGCTTTTAACAGCACTGAATAATCCACTAATAAAAACAAGAGTTACAGTGTTATAGTCATCTTGTAAGAAGCCTTCAGCACTAATTTGTGAGCTGGTTGGACTTTATTTCAGGTTGCTGTGCAACATGAAATACTAAAAGGCTCTACACAGTACTGTATTACAGGTTTCTTGAGGGGTGGGCTGGGGTGCAAGGAGATGATGGTCACTAGAGGCAAGACAGCCATAGGGGATAAAAAAAAAGCCATTTTGTAAGTATGAGACGACTTACAAGTAAGGGTATTCTTCCTATAGGTAGTGTAGATAAACATAGATGTGTTTAATGTTCACATTTATGTATAGGGTAACTAATTATCTTGAGAAATCCTTAGTTAAATTAGCTTTTAGTTGGATAGCCTGCTCGTGTAGGCAGGCAGCTGTGTGCAGTACTTCAGCGCTGTTAGTGCCCAGACAGAATAGCTGGTGTTATTCCCTGCTGGAGTGCTTGTCTGAAACTGCTTGTAAGGATGTTTGTTTCCCACCAGCTGGCTCCCCCTTCTTCGCTTATCTAAGAGTTGGGACTGTGTAGAATCCCCCTGGCACGGTGCCATTCTTTCCCTAAACAAAACACTGGGAAGAAGCTAACTCTTCTCAAACCTAGCAGTGGACTTCTTCCCACCAGGGCTGCCCGCCCTTTTCCCTTTCCACAGTGTAGCTAGAGACTTGGCAGCAGTTCAAGGTAACTGGAACTTGCTGCTCTCAGCAAGTTCAACAGTGTTCTCTGTTTTGTCTTCCTGAGTGTCACAACAGGCTCATCTGTAAACTTCACCAAACAGTTTAAAGCTTTATTTTTCTCATTTCTTGCCCAGATGGTTTCTGATTCCCATGACCCACATACCCCAAAGGAAGGAATGTTTCTGTGGGATACTGTTAAGATGTACAAGCTGCAGGTATGGCTGCACCGAACGTTTTAAGGAAGGAGGCAGCTGGGAGTTTGGTGCTAAACACCCAAGTTATAGAAAGCCTGTAGCAGGGAAAGGGCCTGTTTGACCTCTCTGTGAGTGCAGTTGGCTTTTTGTTTGCTCTTGCCCCACACATGAAAGGCATCTGGCTGTGATGGTCACTGATGCAACCAGAAGTTTCTACTTAGCCTCAAGTTAGGAACACCACTGAAGAGATGTTGTACGTACATGTAAGACTAGAATACTTGTTGAACGTTAAGTTAACCAGCATTTTTACTCGGTTTCACTTGTACCAGGGTCTTGTATCAACTCTGCTTTACTTAGGCTGTCAGTGTACTGGGTCATCAATACTCTTTGTAGTTCCCTGGAGGTTTGTAACTATGGTTGAGTTTTTGTGCTGTTTTTCCCCCTACAACATTGTGGCCTGCTTTCCAGACAACTCTCGGGGAGAAGGAAAAGCAAAGCATGGAATTTTAATAAACATCAAACAACTGTGGACATCCTAATTCCTTTTTTATATGTCTCCATGCTGCCCCTTACACATCAGGGAAGATCTCTGTAAAAATAAGAAGGGCTGCTCAGCTGTCATGCTAAAGTTCTTTCCTGCTGTGATGCCTAGAAAATGCTGATTGAAACTAGATGCTCAATAAATGGAGAACGTTTAATTCTGAAGTGATTATATGTGTATTTTGGTTTTTGGGGAGGCTGATGGGGGGTGGATTTTTTTATTGCGTCTGTCTCATCTGGTGCCATCACAATGCAAATAGGAGCACCAAAGTCCTTGTAATGTCTGTGTATTTTTGGAAGCATGTACAAGGGATTGCAAACCAAATCAGAAGGTGCTTGGGTTTTAAACTGAGGTGGCAATAAGGCAGCTTCCTGCCTAGGCAAACCCTCAACAGATGAGATTGCTGATTTCACACATGTAAAACACAGTAGTAGTTTGCTATCTGATCTCTGTTGTCACTCACAAACTCAGCTAAGCCCAAATGTGATCAGCAGTAATAACTTGCCTCAGTTCCTCAAGGTGATCGATAGCACCCATAACGCAGTGGTGCCTTAGCTATGTAGTCTAGTCATACACATTTGTCACCAAGCTGTGTCAAATGGGATGGGCTGTGCTTCATGATGCCTCTACAACACTGCAGTCTAGCTGCCCCAGGCCTAGCTGTGCTTTCACTGTTTTATCCAACACAGAAAACAAAGATGAGGCAAACAACTTCTCAAAGATGACATAATGGTGAGGTCGGAAGAGAATTCTCTCTGTAAAGCAATGCTGTGCATGGTATGTGCAAATGTGTTTGAGATTTGTTCTTTCAGGCAAACAAATGATGCTCTTGGATCAGTGTAGAATATTTTGGCATTTCAGTCGCATGCTGGCACCAAAAATGAGGAGCAATGACCACAGTCGAGGGTCAGCTATGCAGTACACATGGTTTGAGAACACGATCTCCTTCCTGTTACTTGGCCACTGCCTGTCTCCACGCTCAACCACGTTTTACCCACTGGGCACAGGTCCAGTTGACTCCGGAACAAAAGCAACACACGCAGGAAATGAAGTAACGGCAATACCAGTTAATAGCTGTGCACTGAAGAGACACCATGGGATCGAAACCTCACGTTGGTGCTTCCCATTAACTTGCCTGGAACAGGGCGAACAGCAGAAGGCACACGTTGCGTTTGGGATGCGCTAAAGCTGGTGCGCGTCGGCCGCTTTCGAGGCAGGTTGAAGCGCAGCAAAGCGGTGCCTGTCCCGGTGCTGGACGCTCTTCTCCAGCTCCGACCGTCGCGCTCTGCTGACATCTCGCTGTTCAACAGCCGCCCTGCGGCACAGGCCGGGCCCCCGCGCTGCCCGCCCGCGCTGCCCGCCTTGCCCGAGGGCGGGAACAGAAGCCCCGGGGCTTACGAGCAGTCGCGGGCCGCTTACGTCATGCGCGGGGCGGGGCCGTACCCGGCGCGTGGCGGGAGCAGCCGCGCTATAAAGCGGCGAACGCGGCCCTTCGCCGGGAGTGGGGTGCGTCGCGGCTGTGGTTAGTCTCGCGAGAGCTCCTGGCTCTTTCTGGCAGGACGGGCGGCGGCTCTCGCGAGAGCTGCGGCCCCGGACCCAACATGGCGGAAGGTGAGGGGGGGAGCCCCATCGAGGGGCCGGGCGGGTACACGGAGAGCTCTGCCGGCGGGGGTGGCTTCGCCGCCCGCAGGGAAACGGGGACAGCCCCTCTTGCGTGCGGCTTCTGCTTCGCCTCTCGGTGCGACGGGTTTGGCCCTGCCCGCGGCGGGTGGGGCAGGCAGCCCCCTGGGGGAACGGGAAATGGTGGGGGGTGGTCCTGCGGGCTGGCTCACCCGGGGCAGGGCGGGCCTGGTACTGTGCCTTTGCCCCTTGGGGTAGCGGTGGCTCTGGGGACCCCGCCGGGACATCCCACTGGCCGCTCCCAGCACTTGGGCAGTGGGGCGGGGTGATGCTGCTGGGTTGAGTGGGGCTCGGCGGGGTGAGAGCCGAGGGGCAGCGGCTTTCCTCGGAACAGGGCGGAGGGACCGTGCTGCAGCTCCGGTCACCTGCTGGCGGGCGTCCTTTTGTCAAATTTGGGCTCCAGTGAGACCTGCAGAGCCCCAAGGCTGCTTGCGTTTTGCTTGGAGGCTATCAGTGACACCGTTTCTAAACTAATTTCAGTGAGGTAACGGGATTTGTACAGTCCTACTCCTTTCTGCAAGACAGAAGCTTCCTCTTTTCCTCCCTGGAGGAAACTGAGTCGGCAAAATGAGCAGAAATGCCGCAAGTTACAAGGGAGATGAAGTCTCTATCTTCCTGTCTCAAAGCACAGACTTTGGCTCTCAGTTCTCAGACAGTGGTAGAGTTTTAAAACCACTTGTGGAAAATTAACTAGGATGGAGCAGATTCGAAACTACAGGCACGTGTCAGCTGAGAGGATGCTGCAGTCCAGTTGGTTTAATACATCCTTAGAGCAATTCTTAACATTTCATGTGCTGAAATACCGCTGTTTTGTATTTAGCTGAGCAGCCTCTTTGGCTTGGTTTTAAGCCTTGGTAGCACAGTTCT